TTGCCATCGAGAATGCTACAAAGACGAGGATTGTGATTGCTGATACCAAGATTCACATACTGGGCTCTTTTGCAAATATTAAAGTTGCAAGGGATTCTCTTTGCAGCCTTATCTTAGGGTCCCCTGCTGGAAAAGTGTATTCAAAATTAAGAGCAGTTACTGCCAGATTGGCAGAAAGGTTTTGATTTTAGTCTGTAATACCTTAGAGAGTTTGTCTTGAGTAATGCATTTGTTATAGCCAATTATAGTTTTGAGTGTTCGGAGGATGCGTGTGGCTCTGCAAAGGTTCAAGGTATTTTTGTAACTTGATTAGACATGACATCTTGTAAGAATTTCCTTTTTATGGAAACATTTTGTTTGAGTTGCATTCATATTTATATTTTTGTTTCATTTTAGACTATGCTCCTGAGTGACAGATTCATTTTGATATCCAGATTATAGGTTATCAAAGTGCTTACATTATTTATAAGAGGTCTTCAAGGTGCTTCTTCCTGTGTTGAGACAAATACAAGGGTTGATGACCTTAAGGACTTGTATCAAATAACAAAAAAAATATAGACATTACGCTGGTTAGCTATATATCCCTGATCGTCATTGCCCACTCTGCAGAGTAACTCTTCCAATGTTTGAAGGGTCATAGTCAGCATGCTTAAAACTGCAGCAGATGCAGCATCTGGTTCCTTGCCACCCAAGCCAAAATTTGAGCCTTTTAAGGCACATGAGATGTCATATGGCTAAATTCAGTTTTGGGAAGTCTGTTCCGCCCAAGGTCTTAAATATCGATAGTTTCGGAAATATCGGTGGTTCAAAAATACAGAAATATCGATGGAAATATCGGTGGTTCAAAATAATAGTGAAGATTGAAAATTAACTAAGAACATAAATAAATTTATCAAAGGAAGAATTAAGTAGTAAACAAAGAAAATAATTATAGAGATTTAAGTAATTAAGCAACAATTTGAAGGGGAATTTAGTAATGTAAGTACTTATAATGAATAATAAAATAATCAATAACATTAAATGGATTAAATAGAAAAGAAATAAATTATATTAAATAATTAAGTAACTGATCAACAATTTTCTATTTTGAGAAACAGCTTGCATGTATTATAAATACTTATTCTATAGCTTATTATCACAAGGTGAATGCCAGCGTGGTGGTTAAAGTGGCTACAAGTTTCGGAATTGAGAGGGGTTCGAATCCCCCTATGCGCGCGAGCATGAGTGGGTTTTAGCGCAAAAGGTTTTTTAGGTTTTACACATAAAAAAAAATTTCACTTTTGGAAAAAGCCAAAGTTTTTTCAAAAAAGACAAAAAAACCACTCAACTTTCAAATCAAAGACATGCAAATGTATTGGATTCCTTAGGAAATCTAAAAATAAATAAGGGTATTTTTGTCCGTTTTTGCTTCTTTTAAAATTTTTCTCTCTCCTTTTGCTTTTTCCAAAATGTCCCTTTAGCAAATTAATTTTTGAAAGTTCATATCGCGATATTATTGATAATATCGTGATATATTGACCATTTGCACTGCCAATTGAACGATATATCGACGAAAATATCGATAAATTGACGATATATATATATATATGGAAAGGTGCCAAAATATGGCTGCCCCAAAAAAACGAATCGGCGAAAATATCGATTTTTCATACTGTGGTTCCGCCACATTGTTTCTTGCCTCTCAAGTAAGCGCGAGTATTGAACGAGAATGCTCTAAAAGATGATGATTATGATAGCTTACACCAAACAGATTGGCAGATTGGTTTTGATATGCCTATGTACAATAAAATTGGTTTTGATTTGGGTTTGAAATACCAAGAGAATGCTCTCAAAGATGATGATTATGATAGCTTACACCAAACAGATTGGCCGATTGGTTTTGATATGCCTATGTACAATAAAATGCAGAGAAGTTAAGTATAAAATGGAAGCGTTAAGTTTTAGAGGCTTACATTCTGTACTTATTTTATAGGAACCAGCTTCGTCCTACAATATTATTAGCTCTTGTTGACTTGTAATTTTAAGTCTACATACACCACGGTTTCGTAGACTTTGTGATGCCAATAGTACGTATTCATTTATTATCATTACCGTAATCAATTACCGACAATCAAGTTTTCTTTTTTCCTTTTTGTTATTATGGGGGCTTTTTCGTTCCGACAGCTACTGATGGGCCTAGGCTGCTGTAAAGAGCCAAATGTGTGAAATTGCCCCCTGAGTCTGAGTTCAAGGATCAGACCCCAAGAGTGCTTCGAAAGGGTAGCTGAGCCTTAGGAAACACCTTGGTCTTCTTCACCAATGAAACCAACAGTTGCTTACAGATAAATATTATGGCTTGGCATGAGAAGCTTGTGGCATGTGAGCTGAGCATTCGTGAGTTTAGCATGAGAGAGAGAAGGCTTGGGTTTCCTATGAGAAACAAAGGCTCGAAGTAAGGGGAAGAGAGAGTTTTTGGGAGAATTTGTTGAGGGGAGATAGGAAGAGATGAGGAAGACGAATGGGGTGGCTTGAGCAAGTTTCCGGCAGCTTGACGAAAGCTTCGTCAAGCTCTATAATGGCTTGACGGAAGAGAAAAAGGGAAGCAATGGAAGAACATGGCTTGAAATCGAAGGGTTCTAAGGATGAGAGGTGAAGCTTGCTCTCTCTGGATGTGTTTATCGGAAAGAGAGGAAGAAGATAGAAGCATGGGTGGCTTTAATAGATTTCCAGCAGCTTGACGAACGCTTCGTCAGGCTCCTGGGTTGCTTGACAAAAGAGAAAATGGGAAGAGATGGAGGAATAGGGCTCGAAATTGAAGTGTTCCAGGGATGAGAGGTGATGCTTGCTTTCTCTGGATGTGGGTTTTGGGAGGGAGAGGAAGAAGATGGAAGAACAAAGCATGAAATTGAAGGGTTCCAGAGGGGATGCTTGCCTTCGATTAGCTTTCTTTGTTGGGTAGAAAGTGCCTCCTTTTATAGGCGTTGGAACATTCAATTTTATCAAGTCACCCTCTTCCATTTTCCTTCACTTTCTTCCATTCCATCTTATTTGGTGAAACTTTCCCAGCCTAAGCATGTAGGCATGAAGCTTTTTGGAGTTCCAAGACCTTTACGCAGCTGGACTTCTCCATGTGGGTGAGGCGCCACTCACTTTTCCTTCTTGTTTTCTCACCAAAGCTTGTAGAGGAAAGAATAGGTAAGGGTACTGGTCAAAAGGTGATTTACTCCCATCAGCACATGGGTTTGCTTGGTTTTGGTGGTTTGGCTTCCATCTGGTTTTAACAAAGATGCTGGATATTTCCATGACGTTGGATATTATATAAGGTGCTGGGCTAGGCTATTTTATTTCCAGCGGCTTGTGAGTTCCCTTTGATTTCTTCAAGCTGCTGGAAGTTTTGGCTGATGTGGGATTTTTTCAAGTGTTATGGGCCTTTTCTTAAGGTGATGGGATATTAGGTTTTCTCTCTCATGCTTACCCATATGTTTGGGCTCAAGGAATGGGATTGAGTTTTGGTGCTCCCAAGCAGCCCAAAATTTCCACTCCTTGGACCATCAATAGGCCTCGTCAATACTCGTAACCATCCATACCACAACCCACTCAGCAAGTCCCAGGCATTCGCGTGGCTTGGGCCCACTTAAGCTTGTAGCGTGGCGTGTTGCTTATTTGCTTGACATGGCACGTGTGCAAGCGCATATGACTAACTCTTGCATGCAGAAGTCGGGTTTCTTCCCAAGTTAGGTGTCGTACTGAGCCAGAAATATATTTGGGCCCATCCTTGGATTTTTTGGGCCTCAACATTAGCCTCATTGATTATTGGGGCCATGAATGGATATTGAAATTGTCCGAATAATCAATTTCCAACCCAAAATAAATGGTAGTGGCATAGCATGGCATGAGTTTAACAACTCAAGGATGACTAGTTAAGGGTCTCTGAAATTACAACCAGGTTTTTCTGGGAAGGTTGGAGGGGTCACGATGGTCCCGCTTAAAACCCAATCCTTCTTAAACACCACGGGTGTTGCCTTGAAGAACTTTCCTAGACACTATAATTTTGGATGTCACTTACTAGAATTACCAAGAGTTGATCTATTTTGTGGCATGACAGATAAGAAAATGCTTGGTGGATTAGCTCAAAATAACTTAGCTTGCATGATTTATTTGCTTGAGTAACTAGAGAGCCTTGATTTTGCATGGTTGTGATTTGCAAGGGTTACATTGACTTTTGTGTCTGATTTTGGTTCGTTACTATATTAGAATTTTAGTTAATTACTTATTTATTTAGTCATATTATAATTGAGTTTCCTATTATAATTGAGATTTATTACATTTATCGAAAGATATATAGTCCACATCAGTTTCTAACTGGTGGACCTTTTTTTTTTTGGTCCCAAAACATACAACTAAATAGTGGAAGAGATTCCTTTATTTATGGAGGAGATGATGTCCTCTCCAATTTCCTTGTTTAGAAGATCACGCCCTCTCTCACTCCCTAAACCCTTTGACTCTTTCATTCGGGACGGAACAACGGCAGCGAAGAAAATTGAGAGACAGCCAATCAATCCCCCAATTCCTTCAATTTATGAAAAATTCGCTCAACTATATTACCTTTCACTTATATCACTTAAAGCACCATGCCCGCCACCGCCTATTCAAAACATTTTCTCTTGTTTTATATATGTGGTGGACAATACATACATCAATGTTGATAATATAACATAGAAATACAGAATGGTAAAACAGACACTAGAGCCAGGGGGACTAACCAAAGCATCCTTAAACAAAGTCACGCTGGTGAATGTTATAAAATAACTTCTATAATAGTATGCTGAAGATATGACGGCGATAATGGCGTCCATGCATCAGTAATATGGAACACGCATTCACCTGATAATGATATTGAGAGAGACAATAAAGAGTCAAATGCATGCATGACATCAAACACCTAGTGTTTTTTTTTATCTCAGGACTCAAACTGCAAGAGTTCCTACGCAATATAGGTTTAGGTTCAAGGTGACAATTCTTGCACAGAGTCATCAGAATGAAAACTAATACCAAATCGATTGAATGAAAAAACAAGGTAAAAAGATCAGAGTATTCTTATAATATTACATCTTAGAGTCTCCATGGAAAGCAAATTAAGTTTCACATTTCGTAACATAAGCATAAAAAGGCATCTCAAAGCACTTAAATTGCTTCATTCCTCACACAAAATCACTATCAAAACTTTCATACACCATTTGAGACTGCCCCAAAATTAGATTGACAACTGCACCATTTGAGAGACGTTTACCTGTTCAATTATTTAGCAAAACTACATCAAATTCCATAGCTACAAAAGAGAAAAACCAAACTTGAAAAGAACAAATAGCGAGTTAACAAAACTTACAGCCAAAAGGCACCATGCATGGAGACTTTAGTTGCCCTTGGACCGTTCGCATCGAGTAGAAAACATTGAACACCACAAGACCCCGTTTTGATGGTTACCAACTCTCTACTGTCAGAAAGTTCAAATTCGAAACGTATCACAAAAATCGGCATCTTCCTCAAAACTCCGCCCTTGGACTCAAATCCAGTGTCGACAGACAATACAAGACATATCTCATGACCTCCTAGATGGAGGATCCTATAATCTATTTCACGCGCTCTAGCAGTGAACAGATCACGGAACATAGGCAATAGTTCAAGCCCTGGTTGAGTAGGTAACAGATCATCAGGCAGGCACAGAGGTTGAAGCCGTGTGAGTGATGTAAAGTCACTCGACATGAGATACGTAGGCAAAGATGTACGCTTCCATTCAAAATGACGATAAGCCTGAGGAGGATAATCACCCACACCAGAAGGGAAGAAGCAGTCGTCCTCATAGCAACAGCAGTAGGCGTCATCTTCGAATTCATCAGCCTCTTCACACAATTCTGGGTAACACGTGAAAATCAGCCAATTCCCATCCCTCATTTTCACAGCTAAACTTCGTCCATCGAAGTCGAATGGCAATCTAATGCAGTTTGTAAAAAAGTGCTCGTTCCATTTTTGACTGGTGTCAGCCATGTCAAAGCGGAAGATACTAGACAAACATGACACAAAGATATTAGTGCCTACAACAACACAATTGGTGGTTCTTCCAAGGTAGCGTCGGTGGAAAATTGGGGGTTCAGGCAAAGTCACCCATTTGTCATTTGTTGGGTCTAACATCTCGAACCCAGGAGCGAAGTGTACGCCACATGTTGACATTAAACTTCGGCACGAGAGAACATATAATTTGGAGTCATGCTCCACCACCAGGGGGTAATTCTTCCCTTGTTGAAGGGGACGGTGCCTCATCACAGGGGTTGGATTCAATGGACGGAATGGAACCGATAAATTGGGTGGAATCATAAAGCACTTCTTAGTGTCAAACTCAAGAACATCTCTGCACAGATATGGTGTGAAATTGCCGTATCCATTGAAACTCGGTTTAATGCCGCCTACCAAAAAGATGTTGGAGCCGCGAACACCAAAACCCATAACTGCAGGAATCGACAGACCTATTTTACCCACTATTCTAGATTCTGCCAATGGAAGTATATTGCAATTTTTCCCCAAATCAAAGGCGTGAATCAAGTAAGAAAGCGAAGTGCCCGGATAATACTCGCCGAAACATAAAAAAAGGAATTTCTTCCGCTGATGCTCATCCATAATAGACGGACCAGGGTGATCCTTCAGCTCCTCCATACCTAGCCTAGGTTTTCCGCTTCTTCACGCTTCGCCGCCGTGGCAACACACGGCCTCCAATTTTACTCAACCCTAAAATTGTGTGCTTCTGTCCGTAGGATGAAACTTTTCTATTTGTATAATGCTAGGGATTGATACCAACTGATTAGGCCTCATCATTTGGCCCGCGGGCTCATGGGCCGATGGGGGCCCGCCCGGCCCATTGGAAAAAAGCCCGGCCCGGC